CCATACCACAATATTTCACAGAATACTATCACGTGAAGGAGCATGGGGGAATTCCCTTATGGGTGAAATCTCTTTAACCGAAACCCCATCATTGAAATTTGTGATGATTCATTGATTTGATTTGATTTGAATGAATGTGGTGCAGTTGAATGATGTTGTGAGTGTCATATTCATGTCCCACACAACAGTTGCAGCTTTGGTTGGTTTCGTTTTGGATGTTACACTGTCTCGTGAAGATGATTCTGCACGTAAAGACATCAGTTTGCAGTGGTGGGAGAGGTTCAGCTTGTACAGCGCAGATGTTAAGAGTGATGAGTTCTACTCTTTACCATGCAGACTTGACAAGCTTTTTCCACCCTCTTAGCACCGCCGCCACCGCCGCCTCCACCACCACCACCACCACCACTTTATTTCCGTCCTTACTGCAAATGGGGTTCCTCATTTTTTTTCAACTTCCTGTCAAAACTGTGGTTTCACTGTCTTATGTTTCGATGACACACTTGTTCCAATGTTGTTCATCTCATTTACTTCATGTTCCAATCTTTGCTACTATTCAGTCAGTCAGTGTTATTGAAGGAAAATATCTCTTTAATAATTTTTTTTTATACTAGTTTTAATTGATCCATTTCAAATAGATTAATAAAATAGTCACGTTATGAAAAAATTGTTAAAATATTATGTTCCATTCCTAAATTACATTCAACAATATCTCATACACACTTTTCATTCAATATGTTATCCTTTAATCTCTTTTTTCCTTTACAACTATAGAAAATAACTTTTTTTAATAGCTAAAATACCCTAAAAAGTGGATTGGTAAGTGGTGCATTGTCAGAAAATTATTTGTGTTACTAGTAATAGACTAACTGCCACACTTTTTTAGCTATTTTTGTTTAGGAAAAATATTCTTTAACACAAAAACACATTCATTTTACATTAATTAATTATAAGAGCAAAATAATAATCTAAAAAATAAATTATTGTATTTATAATGTTAAATGAGTCTAAAAATTTATTCTGTCATATTATAAATGTCCGTTTGTTTTAGAAGTGTTTTGGAAACACTGCCATATTAACCAAAATTAATTTCTCGATTAATAATTGATTGGGGTTTTTGTTTTTTTTTTTCTCTATTTCATAATCTTTTAAAAGTTTATATAAAATTAAAAATAAATGAGAAATTACAGAAAAATTTCACGATGCTCATTTGGGAGAATTAAAGTGTTGTGCAATTGGTTATCAAATTAAATGTATGATCAGATTGAGATTTCCTTTTTCATAGAAGTTATATATAATTTTATATCAATTGTTATGATGAAATATTTTTTTTCCTACGTTACATATATAAAAATTCATGTTAATAAAATTGTTTTGATATTTTTGTTTATATATAATAAAATAGGTATAATGCATTCTTCAAAATATATTAAAACAAATTTTATTATTGTTGCTTAATTTTGATAAGTTTTGACAGAAAAGATTACGAAATATATAAAAAAAGGTACAAGTAATAATAATTATAGAAACAGTGGCGAGACGAAATGGTAGTGAAAATTACCATTGACTGGCAGAACATAATTTTTATTGCCTTAAAATACAAATTATATATTTTAAAGATGACTTATGATTGAATTCATTTTTGTTAATAGGACATAATAGTCTACTGTGTCATTCGTAACATAATTATCCAGTTACCGTGAACAATTTTTATTTATTAACTAATTTTGTAAAAATAAGTTAATTTATTATTAGAAAATTAAATGTAAGTCTAAAATGTAACACTAAGAAAAAATAAACATATAGTATAAGAATAAAGACCAATAAAATTGTTGTTTGAAGTTTTGAATTAAAATTAATTTCAGTATTTTTTTATATTAGACTAATATTTACTTTTTTTCTTGGAAAGATTTATAATTTAACTTAAATTATAATCGAGAAATAAAATAATAGTTGGAAAATAAAAAAGATAATGAATAAATATATAAATTTTGTATGAACCGGAAAACATGGGCAGTGGAAACTGGATCTTCGTTTGAGAGTGAGATGCAGTGGAAGCAGGTAGTGCATGCTCTTCGTTGTGTTGCTATTGCTATTGTGATTGCTTTCTCTGATACAGCTACACCATTCTTAATTTATCTCTAACTCTCTGGCTATTACTCTTCTTTCATTTTCATAATAATGTAACTTTTTTTTTTCCAATAGTCATATAAATCATAATTTCAAACCCCTTTTTCCTGCTACAGCTGGCCCTACTAACTTCTTCCACCCTTTTTTCTGCACTCTCATTTTTCTTTATTGTTACATACATCAATTCAATTTTTATGCTTTCATCATCTAAACATGTCTCAAAATATATATACAAATACAATGCAACATTATCATTATTACTATTATTTATCATAAAATTGTCAACTAATAACAATCTTATTGATGATATTTTTTTAGGGAAGGAAAATCACCTTTAATTCAAAACATAGAGATATTAAGTTTATAAGTTATTTATCTTATGATATATAATTTAATTATCTTTATTTGATGTGTTGACATAGAACTTAGATTCACATTTAGTTTTTTCTAAGAGTTTATTAAGGAAGAAATTATATATATATATATATATATATATATATATATATTAGATTTTATTGTACTTTTAAGGAACAATGGTTTATGGTTGATACGAGGACAAATCTCTCGAAGCAAGATGCAACGTACCCTGCCCTAGGATCTCTAACAATTCTTTGGAGGCGTTTGACTGTCTCAATGTTGTGAGCAAAGACATCTAAACCTGAATGAACCAGAGTTTCTACAGCCTTCAAATCACCCCGAAAATCAGAGGTTAAACACTCGACCATGATCTCAGGTTTGAGATTCTGCAAAAGCAAATCATACAGGCAACAATCAGTATGTATATACAATTTGCATTGTATACCCTGTGAAATGCATAATAAAACAACATTCTAGTATAACAAAGCACCTTCAAGGCTTTGACAGTCCGAGCAAAATGGCCACTTCCTCCATCGGGTATATCATCACGATCCACACTTGTAAGGACAATATAATCCACACTGCAGAAAAGGGTAACTCGGAATTAAAAGAGAATAACGATTTTTTTTTTAATCAAACTATCAACTGTAGCATAATCCAAACACCCCACTCACCCCCAACTTGCTATGGCCTTGGCAGTGTTTTCCGGTTCCATAGGATCAGGAGGTGAAGGGTTTCTACTGGTCTTCACGGCACAAAACCTACAGCCACGTGTGCAAGTATCCCCGAGAAGCATGATTGTCGCAGTTGCAATCCCATCTCCGCCTCCATTCCAACACTGTGCACACACACATTACAATCCAAAACTCAAAAATAACAGCAAAAGCAATGAAGAGAATTGAAGCTAACCTCTCCTATGTTGGGGCACTGTGCCTCTTCACAAACAGTGTTGAGCTTCAACTGGGAAAGGGATCCCTTAATCTCTAGGAACCTTTCACCCTGTGGAGCTTTCTGCCGCAACCACTCGGGCTTCTTCACGTTTGGGTCTCGCCCCGTGTGCGGGCCCAGCCCACCAGGCCCAACAACCTTCTTCTCTACCGACACCGACGATGCGTCGCATCGAATTGTTCCCCAACTTGGAGGAGCTAAACGGTGGCGTTTATGAGCAGTGGGAGATGGGGTTGAGAAGGAGACGGAAGGAGTGTTGTAGAGCGATTGGCGAATCATTTTACTGTGAATGGAAATTTGAGATGAATTGCGATGATGCAGAAGTTGTAGTAGTTGTAGGCATTGGTTTCTCCGTCCACAAAATGAAATTCTGTGTGGTTTTCTTGAGACTGGTTTATAAAAATGGAAGAGGGTGAGAATGGTTGAACAAAGCAAAGAAAATTACAAAAACCCAGAATAGATATAATTCATTTTCCTTACATCCCTCACGTTTCTTTTTAGTATGTAAATAAAAAAAAAAGTGTATGTGTATTTCTGTAGTATATTTTAAATAATTAAGAAAAGTTATCCGAAGAATAGGAAAATAAAAGTTTACAGTTATATTTGTGAAATTCCTAAAAAGTATAAATGTAATTTACTTTTTATTTATTCTGAAATGTTTTATATTATAATTGTTTAAATTATAAAAATTAAATGAGCTAAAATTTGTACAATATCCATCAGTGCAAATTACTATTAGTATAAGTTCTGAATTGTTAGTTATTATAAAAGTTAATAATTATTCCGTATGAGATGATAGTTTATTTTTTACATTATTAGTGCATAGACAGTTATTCAAAATGAAACTCGGAAAAAATGTATAAAATCTGTATTATTTAGTTGAAAATGAAGAGAAAAAAAAATATTTTCTAAAACGTGATGTTTTTAAAATAATTTTACAAATACGAATACTTCAATGTCTTGTTTTTAAGCTTCCATACTTTTGTTAAAAATATGAAGATATCACATTTTTTAATTTTATGTTTACTTTAAAATCTCTTAAAATTAACAAATTATTCATTTTATGCATACACAACAAAAAAAAAACATAATATTTGATATTTTTATACAAAATCATATGAACTCAAGACCAAGACAAAAATAAGTCTACCAGTTGCCTTGATAATTCCAAGATTCAACTTTTGAAATCACAAACAACCTGAAATATCGTGAAAGGAACCAGTCAGGCATTGCCAAATAGATCATTAAACAATTTCATTGAAGAAAGAATAAGTAAAACCAGGAAATCCCTTGTAACAGCAAGAACATTTTAGATCAACATTTCTACGCAGGCGCACTCGAAACAAAACACTGTATGCAAAACAGTTAACTTCGTCAGCCCACATCACAAAACCATGAACCTTGTAGGGAGATTTGGATAGTGAAGTTCAAACTTTAGAGCTATCACTATACGAAAAAACATGATAGCATAAAACACGATAGCGTATACTGGCAGGTGTTTGAAAGTGCGTACAATAAAGCTGATAGGTTCTAACATTGTAAATAACTTATAAGTCCATATGGGAAAATGCACAGAGGGATGACCAAAATTTTGTTGAAGAATGTAGTAGTTACAACCTAAAGAACTCTAGATCATATGAACAATTGACTAGATCTTTCTTTTTCTTTAACCCTTTCTTTGGGTTTCTATGTTTGTATTTTGTAGATAATAAGTATACAAAAGAATGGGCATAATTACAAGTTCCCGTCATAAGAGGCACGAATTGTATGAGCACCTTTCCACCGAACAGCACCCTTGTTCATAAATACCAAATACTGCATGGGATTGGGAATGTATAGTATCTTGCATTCGTCTTCATAAAATCATGTTCAAATCAGACAGATCATCCATTGGTATCTCTAGGCCAATAGCGTCATTATCTTGCAAATCGTCATCAATGCTCAGCAGCCAAGAATCCAGGTCTTGAGGTCCAGTAAGTTCATTACCTACACCTAGTTCTATGGAGTCTAATTCATGCAGGTTTGTGATGTCCGTGCGTTCCTCAGTTCCAGTGGACACATTGTGAGGTACAGACCCAGTTTTACTTTTTCTGTTGCCATGACTGGAAATAAGTTCATTAGAACCACAAGCTAATTGATGCTCAGAGTTATTATTTTCCATTAACTTGCTAAGAGTACCATTTCCAGAACTAGATATTTGAGCTGTCTTTGGTTTAGACTTTGCTTTCGTTTTTCGCTCACCCCTCGTATGACTTGTAGAAGAACGACCACCTTTTGATACAGAAATTTTTCCAGAAGAGTCTTTGTCCCTGTCTCGCTCACTCCTCTTTCCCTTTGCACCACCAGGAGTTGATGCAGATCTTAGAGAAGGACTAGCACCAACATCATCAAGCAGTAGTTCCTTTTTCTTCCCTCTGTTTACAATTGGTCCTGTCCTAGCAAAGTCCTGGTCGGAGGGCTGGTCTAGATTTCCAGACACATCCTGCTCCTTGCGAGGGAAATAGCCTGCAAGAACAAGGCCCAATTTGTTAAGCAATTATCCTCTTAGTCCAAATCAAGATATCAGAAAAAAAAAGGAACGGAGATATAAAATAAATTAAGCAAAAATCAACAGCCCAAGGAAATTGTTTCTTGACAAGCATGACGCCTCTGCTCAATTTATTCCAGTATGAGTACCATACCAAATGATTCCAAAATAATTAAAACAGGAAACCTGAAGGTGCGAATTCTTGCTGAGAATTTTGACCAAGTGATAGGTTTGCAGCATTAGCTGGACCAGTATTGTTGTCATGAGAAGGAGCAGCAACTAGGGCGTCTTTAAAAACAGGGTCCAAAAAACAACTTCTCCCTGTTTCCTCAAATTTGTGGCATCTAGCAAGAGTCCTCTTCATAAAAGCCAGAGCAACTGGCCTTGAGACCTTAGAAAGTCCGTATCTCGCAGCACTAGTTCCACGGGTTGCCTGCAAAAATTATCGAGGGTCATTTCACGGAGCAAATGTTATGCTACCTTAACTCTTTTCCGACAAAAGCATTGTTACTGCACAACTCTTAAAAGAATAATCTGAAGGGAACATGCTACATGCTTAGTAAACATGAGGGGAGAGGAGACAGTAACCTCCGTAATAAAAAAAAGTACAATGCATTTCAATTACAAATAACATATTGGAAATAATCTGTTAAATAGCTCAATTTAATTACCAGTTGCAACTTGTAACAACATCCACATTCAACAGATTATCAATTCATTGAACAAAAAAACAGCAAAAAAGCACAAGAAAAAAACTTATTTACCAGTTTTTTCTTAAAAGCCAGCTCGACAAGTTTGTCCATGGCAACTTGCTCAAGGGCTCTGCAAAGTATACGACATATATTAGTTATTGGTGAGGATGCCTAAAGATACACAACTAACAATTTATCGACATAGAAACGATAAACACATGAAACAATTTATCAATATCAAAAGTATAATCAAGTAATGAAAGAAACCACATGATTCTGAATTTAGTACCGTTGTTCCATTTCTCTGCCTCGTTCTACTGCTTGAATAAGTTTCATAAAGCATTCTCTCTTTTTATTGACCTGTGAAATTGGTCCAAATAGAGTGTACATAATTGAGTAAATAAATGAATCAAGAATAACTAAAGATCATAAGGAGATTCTTCACCCAAGACAACTAACTACCTTACATTTCAGCAGTCATATCAAGCATAAAACAAAAGAATCAAAACCTGTTGGAAGAGTCCCTTCTGTAATTGCATAATATCTTGATTAATAGCTTCACAATCTCCATCAGCAAGATCAGGCTTTTATAAGACAACAATAAGGAGATCAGTTAAAAATTGAAGCCTCATTAGAAAAATGAACAAATTTAACCATATTTAATACGCATTAAACTATCTAAACAATAATATTTCTCTAAAAGCACATCATGTCCTGTTCCAAAGAGATTAAATTAGACAGAGGCATATAAACAGCAAATCTCTTAACACCATCACACGATCATTTTAGCTTGAACCATAAACTATGCATATGCCAACTTTATAGTGAGGAAATTTAATTTTGTTTAAATAAATAGGGAATTAAACAGCAAACTATCTCTAACAAACCAATTTCATGGATAGCCATAGTTGTTGAAACATACAGAAAACCTCCCATATGAATAAACCACGATCTATTGGCTTCTAAAAGTTTCTAAAAATGAGAAGCTTACCACTTGTTCTGGATATAGGCCAACACTCTGTAGCTCCAGTAAGAGTTTATCCTCCATGCTCATTTGCTCAAAATGGCAACTGAAAGATGATGAGCATGAATTTATGTGCATACCCAAAGACCCATCATTGCCATCTTCAGATAATATGGCCAGCCTTTCGATTTCTGGACACAATGATCCCTGATCAATCTGCAAAGAAACGCCAGGTTCTTTTATAGGGATGTTTGCACAACTAGTATGCATAGCATTCCCATTACAAGAAACCTTGCCAGAGTTGAATACATATTCCATCTTGATGTTGGATTGGTTCTCAACACCCTGAAAGAAGCAAGGCAGCTGAGAAGAACCATCCCTTTCACACAGAAAAGTCATATGTCCATCTCCAACAATGTCTTCATCAATTTGATCATCAATGATCAGAGCTGTCAGCACTCTTTGATACAATGGTGCAACTTTGTTTCCTTCGGAACCCATTTGTTTGCACAAAATACTAAAATCAAGATGTTGATCAACCATGTCATCCATTAAGGATATCTCTTTCGAATCAGTTTGATTTACAGTGCTTCTATCTCTTTCTCTAGAGAGAGGACTTTGTGAAACAGGATTTTCGGTGTGTGTAAGTCTATCCTGAGAATGTAAATGAAAGATAAATGTTGAAGATTGGATAATTAACATCTAATTTTTAAAAAGCATTGGCAATGTAAATGTGCTTGAAAAATGTTCACTTTTCACTTCTGAAATAATTAATGTAAAAGTCATATCTAAGTTAATTTCTAATCAGTTGACATTTGACAACTTAATCTTTACACTGACAATATACAAATTAAATTCCTTTAACATTCAAGTTCACGTCACCTATTTCAAAAGTTAATTTATGCTCTACGGCTTTTCAACGTAGTATAATGAATAATCACAGGCAATACTTTAAAAAACAAATGGACCAGAACCTGTAAGTTCTCCCACGATAGAGAAACAGACAGACATCATTCAACATGTTCC